CCGGTACCAATGAGAGGCTAAGGTACGTAGACGACTGTAAAATTGGAAGACTTCCACCTAGTCCATGGTTAAGCGTAAGTGGTTTCTGGCTATAAGTAGCAATCTTCCTCCGGTTAGCAGCTTGTGGCGTCATTCTAGCAGGCTTTAGCGAGCATTTTCCTAAAGAATGACGTATAACGCTTACCTCCGCGAGGGTGTCAAATATAAAGTGAAGTTTGGTTGTGCAAACGAATAGGTACAGGAAGCGACTGACAATTGGCAAGCGGCGGCTGTCAGCATTACTGCCTGAATGTTTCATTTCTCGATTTAGGTTTTGCGAAAGTCTTTTGGGTGAATACACCCTAGGCGGCCATTCAGTGCAGCATCACCGAAGTGGTAGTGGAAGCAGCGGTAATGGCGCGATGATTGTACGTGAGGGCTCCTGCGAGGTTTGCGTATGGAATAGGATCTTCGGTTTCGCATTCCATCACAACTAAGGTGAGATATACCATGCTCAATATGTAAGAGTACGTCATTACTGAAGTCGAGTGTGATGCTCGCTGAACTGCTTGCGGTGTCAGCTTCAGCCACGTGATTCCTCCAGTTTTTATTAAACTTTCGTTCTCGTGGTCGACCGCTTCTGCCAGCTTATTTAATTGGAGCTCATTCTCCAAAATTGCTGTATCTCCGTCGTGTTTACTGACAGATACGTACACCAGAGGTAGCGAAGGATAGAGTCATCTAGGGTCGAGGAATCGGTAAGTGAATGCATGTATCAAAGGAGCTGAGACTGTGTACGATCTGAGAGTAACAGTTGTAGGTGTGTTACGTCGGATGCAGTAGTGCACTTTAAGATATCTGCTTTAAGCTTGTCATAAGTTGCGCCAGTCAACAGCGAATCGAAAGTATCAATGACTTCTGCAGCCACTTGTGTAGACAAGTGGGCGGCAACATATGAAAACATTGTAGACTACGTGGAACGCTTGCAAAAACGGAAGATGGATTTAATTTAAATAAACCAAATACTTGAGTTTGAGTAATCGAGAAAGTAAAATCCATGCAATGGAGTTTGCAGACAACTGATTACAAACTGGTTTGTCAGTCATAGTAAAGAAAAAATATTGTGTTCGAAAAACACGGGGTCATCAATTAATGTAGTGGACCGTTATCTAACAAGATTGAGTCCCGAGAGAAAATACAACCTTAGGCAAGACATACAGCTCATATACGATCCGGCACGCTTGCGTAGGCATCCTTCCTTCAGTTACCGTCTGTCAGACCCCGACTGGTGATTCGAACTTTTAAATCCAACTGCTCGAAAGAAGTAGCAACCGCGCGAGCCTAGGCAGCACCAAACCAACTCAGTACAACGCGAGCGCGCTCGAAGTTGTGTATTCAAACAGGTTAATGGAAACAACGTTAGAGTGGTGCAATGTTAGTAAGAAAGCAATGCTTAACATGTCCTGTGGTATAGAATTTATTGAAAAAATAATCATTAATTAGTACTAGTCGAGCGTTTTGGTGGACTTACCGAGAACATGGATAAAAGAGCCCAGGTGGTCGCTTGATAAATTATAAATCCATAAATCCACTGGTCGGTAATTTGGGAAACACACCGCTTGTTTGCCTTATATAGTTTCTTGCTAACCCAAATGATAAAACAGAAAGTGAATGAAACAATGCTTTGTAAAGTCGTTTTCTAAATATTCTTGATTGGGAGCAGAGACAACATAAGCTGGGAGGGTGTTCTAGGACCGACACACTGGAAGTTAGAAGATATATCTACATTTCGACCGGCTATACTGTATCGTCCATTTTAGAGGATGGCCACTTGGGTTAGTGTTGCGGTTCCGTTCCAGCTGCGGTAAATGTGGCTTGGGATCTTCAGGATCCGGTAAAGCATTATGAGGTCGCCCAAGCAAGCACCGATATCGACAACTTCACATTCCTAGGGACTTCAAGCAAAGATGGTACCGCAGATTTAATATGCTTCTAAAAATTTTGGTTGCACTTCGTTGAGGAATCCCGAAAGGAACGACACACTGTTTCTGCCATGGCTGCCACGCTTGGATAACGTATCCTACTTGAGGTCGCACGTGGACTTTTGGCAGTTGTGGGAAGATTCAGGGGTCAAACCGACCGAACGAACTGCGAAGAAGGCCCAAGTGTTTATTGCCGGTTCTCGAGGCCTTCTCTGCTAGTTTAGAGCGTCACAGTTCCTCCTGCACCAGTACACCAAAGTCATACTCCTGAGAGGCCTTATGCAGGGTGTGGTCTACAACTTTGCAAAAGCGCACCGGATAATGGCACATATGGAACACCTAGTACTTGGATGTGTTAAACTGGAGTATGTTACTCGTTGAGCAATCATGACCGCAAGCAAGTTCATGTTGGAGTTGATCATGATTTTCTTTGTTCTCCATATCTAGATGTCGTTAGCGGAAAGCAGGAAACTGCAGGAAATAACCCTTGCCAGGTCCTTGCTAAACACCAGGGATAAGCGCGTTCTCTGCAATGAGCCACAAAGAACACAAAATTCCACCTCAAACGAGTTAAGGAACGATCCACAAAACGCAGTTGAAACATCCATTGGTGAAAAATGTTTGTAATCCAACCAAGAAGATGATCAATTAGTCCGTTTCTGTGTAGCTGAGAACTATGATGCGGTGATCCAGACGCTTTAAAGCATTGGTGCAGTCCAGATAGACGACGTCAACTCCCACCCCAACATCAGCCACTTAGGTCCAGCTACCTATTGCCGTCAGCACGTTGATGGTGCGTACCGATGTTGCCGGGAACCATGCTGCTCCAGTTCCAAGAGGTTGCATTTCACCAGGTATTCAGGTGTTGTGGCGACCGGTTCTATCATCTTGGACATCACAAGGAGGAAGGCTACTAGGCAATATTTTGCAGGGATTGAATGGCTACCACCTTCAAAGATTAAAGTAGTGATGCCGTGGTTCCACATAATGGGGACTCGATTTTCACCGAAGCAGTGTACAAGAACAATACAGCGGTTCTGTTCGATTGGTGGCTGCAACCTTCAGTGCTTTTGGGTGGATGCTCTCGACTGCCGGAGAGCTATGATCGCGCAATGGGAGTACCTTCCTTAGCACAGTTTATGGTTAAAATTACATGTGTACACCCTAAAGTCCGCAAATTGGATAGGGGTATATGATAAGGACAGGCTGCGAGTTCACAAATTGGATGTATTGTAGCCGCAGGGCATTGGCTGCTTCTTTGGCGCATTGTAATATACCGCCTGTTGTGAAAAGTGGAGGGATGTTATGCTTTGCTTTAAGAAGGCTGTTGGTATACCCATACGTTATTCTGTTGTTTGCCAGAAATGTTTTGGCTAAGCACTGTTGATAATTTACATTGTCCTCACGGGCAAACGTGGTGCAATGGTTGCGATGGGTCAAGAATTTACCCAAGTCCCGATTCTGGGTTGGCCTTGTAGGCATGTCATGCTGCATCCATTTATGTCATGCAGTGTTGAGTTTTGCTTCTTAGAATTGACCGCACCTTTGCGGAATGAAACGATTTGGTCTCTGATGTTGTTTTGGTGATGGCACTTAGTCTTTCAACAAACGCTGTCCAAAAGTTTTCAACTGGATGGTTGTTCTAGAACTCCCATAATGTTGAGGAGTTCTTTAATGATGTGATAGCGTTTCGTTTGGTTCTTTGGGTGACGTAGCACCTCTGGTGGGCATATCTACTGCTGCCTTCAGACGAAAATCAGATGGCAGCCTGCAACGAATCATGCGCCTGCTTTTCACTAGCTGTGATACAAAATGCTAAAATATGGTGGGTAACAGAATTGATTAAAAGAAAGATGAAAGGAATAACATTCACAACCGTTACCATATAAAAACCACCATGAGGATGAGTTGATGTGGTGGTGGATTGCTTTTGAGTTTTGTAGCTTCACGGTTGAATGAGACAGTGAATTGCGGATGAAATCTTTCGAGGGATTAATCCGCATAGATTCACGTCTCTAAGAATCGTTCCACGAGTGTCGCGATATTTTACCTCAGCATTTAGCTACTTCTTTGTTTATTCTTGCTCCCAATTCATGCATATTTTTAATGCGGTAAACTAATGTATTATTTCGAATACTTCATTCGTGACCAGTTCCTAGCCACTTAACTAATTATTATGCGATCCCGCTGTGTAAATTGAGCCGATCACCTACTTGTCCTGTATATCGCCTCGTGGCGAAACATTATCAACATTTATTTATCTACAAATCAGTAGAGTAATTTATATTGTTAGAAGCAGCTGTATAGTTTTGTGTGAATTATTCACCTGAAGTTGGCTGTTTACGTTAAGATAAATTGTTAGAATAATCTACCTATAGTTATGACAGTACTCATTTAATAGACAAAGCTGACTATCCACAAACGCTTTAGATTTAAGTTAAAACTTCAGGTGTGCTGTAAAATAAGCTAGATCTAAAAGCGTTGTAGTTATTTGAATTAGCGATTATATGCAAACACACCGACACCTAATTATGTGCTCCTTTTGCATTGTTGGTAACGCCGACTTCATAAACTAACCGACGGACCTTTTCAATGTGTCTAAACAATGATACTGTAAAGACGTGAAAAAAGTGGTTAGCTTGTAGTTGAAATATTATACTCTAGAAGTACAGGTTTTTTTATAAAAATTATATAACGTGATTTTACTTGTCTCTTGACTTATTGGTGTTTAGTAAACTTTCAGTAACTGACGGCTATTTTATCTTCGCTAAAATTTCTTTTAAATAACAGTAGACTGAAATTGCTTGCTTAATATTATTACCACCAGATAGAAGGTCGAATGACTTTAATTCTGATACCTCACATAATGAGATATTGCAACTCAAAGTTTGCTATGATCAGGTTACTTAAATAAATTTTAGTGAAAAACCAATCAGGCTGCGAGTTTCCCGCAGCCAATAGTAATTTACACCAATAAGCAGAACTGCGCTGGCTAAGCAGGAAATACGGTCGGAAAGCGCAATATACTCAGCTGGCCAGAGCAGTATGAATTTTTTTGGATTATTAGCAGCATTCTGTCTTGCTGAATGTATTCGGTGACTTCACTTTAATGGTACGAAGTACCCGTTTCGATAACAACTATTTCGATGACTACAATGGGACTCAAGACGGCGACTGGAGTGTGGTCAACGGTGAGCTATACGTAACGAAGTCGCAGCTGTTTTCTTATTCATGTCGACGTTGGCTCAACGTTTAAGGGAAAGCTGTTTGGTTAGGAGTATTATCGTTTTACATACGATGGCCGCTTAAATGGCTTAAACATGCTTTGGACACAACTTTATTTGCAGATTATATTGTACACGGCTATAAATCTAGTGAAGTAGTGGATGTTGCTCCATAAGTAGGATCGGATTAATGCATGCTGCATGTAATTAGGCATAAACTATGTCACTGCTGAAAGCGTGCAAGTTCCGGAAATCTACAATACATTGTACAGGTTAACCTTTAATTCCGCGTGCCACCACGATATTATGGGAGAACGGATATGCCGTGCAATCTATAACACGACACGCGGACTCATAACCCAAGGAGAAACCACTAACTGGTCTCCAACAAATAATGTTCAATATGCTGCCATATAATAGGAACCAATTTCCAGGAGATCTCGGTATCCTCTCCGGAAATTTATCAGGAAGTTATAAAATGCTGCCGAGCTAGCTGTAGTTCACCAAACCAGAAGGTAACTATGCAAGTCCAACCTAGACCGACCAGCTTCTCAGATTACCGCTCCATGTGTCTAGCTGTTTCATCGTATTTGCGATGGCAAGTATGTTGGCTGATTGGAGAGAAAGCTGTCTGAATGGATCGCAGGGTATATTCCCCCTAGCATGGTTACCAAGGACCCTAAGCTACCTACCGGCTCTATTGCTCGTTACATACTTGATTGCTCTGTATACCAAAACTCAAGCATATCGTTCGGTCCGGACCCCTGGTTGCTTTCATTTGCCGAGGCTTGGGCGATTCCACGGCTAAAATTATGTTTAAGGAAACAGACACATTTCGTGACTAGCCTAACCCTATCCTGGTGATGTTGGTCTATGTGATTCTCCTACCAGTATATGTGTGAGTAGTTAACTTTAACCGTTTTAACTTTCGTCATTCAACAGCAAGTTATGTCTTTGTATGCAAATTCAGCATCCCATAACTTGCATGTAAACAGCTGATGGGAGTACTCGAAATATCTGTATACAGTTTATTTTGTTGCAACGGAGTTATTGCTTGCTCCTTTGATATATTTGCTGCTAGGTGAAGATGATATGCTGTTGAAGGTATGTCACTAAAATCTGGCCTCAGAATGGTCTCAAAAATGGTCTCTAGATGTTTGTTATAATATTGAAGTAGTGATGTGGGCTACCAGAGAGTAAAATTGTTCACTGAGTTACCCTGATGATAAAAGCTGTGATATTTATGCTGAAGATCCGATGTCTCCGCAAACAGGATTTCTAGAGCTTAAGTCCTATTAAATGACAAGCTTTACAAAATGATTGCTATGGAATATGAGACGTGTTCTCCTAGACCTTTTAGGGCACATATGTATTCGTTGCCGAATAAAATTACCAGTAGCAACATATCTCCCTATTTTAGTACAACAGAAAAACTATGCCAAAGTATACTTAATACCTTATGATAAAGCTGCTCATCTTTTTAGTTGGACATTCTGAAGTCTTGCACTTCTAGAACCGAAGCGCACTATAACTCACATGGGAAAGCATTTGGTCCTTGCTGGTTATCAAAGTAAGTTAGGAAGGAGGCTTTTATTTTTCTTGCAGGGCAGCTTCGGGGTATCAATTTTGCACCGGGCAATTACAGTTCCATGTGGGATCTCTTGATTTCTTAAGATGCTGATAATTCAGCCCTCATTCCTCAAGAAGATGATGAAACGTAATAGTACCGATTTTAATGGAGGGCACTATTCCAACCTTGATTATATATATATATATATATATATATATATATATATATACAAGTAAACGGGTTCCGAATGTTAGAATGGGTAGATTTTACCTCTCTGCCGACCCTATGTTTCTAGCTTGAATCTTATGCGCCTGACATACGTGGTTATTAATAAAAAGCACGCATTTAACTTACACCCATAGACGCTGCATGCATGGTGTAGCAATTAGTTTTATTCGGTACTTGTAGACTACTTTAGATGCATTGATATGTCTGACACTTTGTGCTTTCTATAGCTGGACGTAAATCAGCACCAAAACTCACACGAACAAACACGTACATATATGAATCTAATGATATGCATTTTATCCGTCTTACTTGACGTCTAGTTTTCAACATGGCTTGACGCGAAAAGAGATTAAAAAACCGCTAGATAATGCTTTTGTGTGAAAGGAGCTATTTGTACCCAAACCAATGCCAAAATTTGTGCAATAACTAGGCAAATTCTGCTCGCAGAGTTCTTGAAACTAAAGGGCGTGCGCCATATTCGTTAGGGAGATTTTCCTACATTTGTATAAGTGGCGTTTAATATTAGCATTAGTTTGTTCCAATAGCCAGTTAAACTATTTATTGTGTTGATTCTTCTTCTAGAACAATGTGAAATCATAAAGAGTGTATACTGCGTTTATTGCATTGCAAGTTAAACAACTGCAGCAAACTGCTATCTGTGGAGTGTAATGAATTAGGCTATTATTGGTTGGAATAGGTAAACGACCTACATGCACCCTAATTATAATTTCGCAGAGGCCACTGCACTGCAAGTACTGTTTTGTTAAGTAGCTAATCAACCAGCCATTTACAAAATGACGGGTGGAGATTTAACAGGTCGGACATCTAATGGACCACAAGCCATGCGCCAAACAACTATGCTAATCTGCTTTTTTCTTTGCTAACGGCAGAACATTAGAGGTTATAAAAACTACCGCAGAAAAATATTATGTTGTTTCTGATATATAATGTTGGCTTAATGCCAGATCCCGCTGAGGTTTTGGAATACTTTCCTGATCCTAACCAAAAGGTGGTCTCCTTTTTATTCACACATCATGCCTGACTCGCATTAACGACTGCGCCCAAGTCACAAATGCTCGCATGTCACTGTTAAATTAGCTGATCGGGACTCATTTGCTACTTTACTGAGGCATGAGCATTGGGAAGTTTTATTCCTCACCGACGGCTGGTATGCCGCAGCTGATGCTTTTTATGACGGTATTAATCCAACCCTACTGGCGTCTACCAAACATAGACGCTTTCCATCAGGTTACGAAAAACTCTTAAACATAAAGCAGCTGCTACTCGCAGAAAGCTACTTACGGCCAGCCACAAAACCAATGACTTCTAATTCATTCTGTAACACCATACGTTGGACATAGCAATGAAACTGGCTTATCACACCAAACAAATCGCTGGTGCACAACGGGCCCTCAGCAGAATGTTTAACATGGTGAGCTGCTCAGTCTTTTAAAGCTCAGACCTACCAAACGTATTCAAAGCATAATCTCAAACACAGCACCAGAGCTCTGCAATATAATTGACCCTGTTCAAACTAGCATAATATTTAATCAATAATACTGCGTTTACTTCCGCGTAGATCAGATGACGCAAGTATTTAATGAAGAATGCAGTCTGTAGGGCAGAGAAGAGAAAATTCTATAACACGATACTTAGAATTCCTAAAAGAAGAGAACTGAGAGTAGAGCAACTCAAGAGTTCTCGTTGATGTTTCGTAGGTTCTTTAATTATTGGACTTATGCACACTAGTGTGGTATCGTCAGCGTATATACATCGACGAAATTGCACGTTATGGTGCAATAAGCGGTTGCTTGCAAAATACCACAGTTGGTTTAAATTGAGGAAGCCCATTTACTGTATCCCTGCTTGAAGTATGTGTAATATTTATTACTTGCACTTAGGTCATGAAGTTACACATTACGTCGCACGTATATAGAGCAACGCCGTCTTCGAACAATAGGTGCACTGGGAACTATCTGGCAATTCTGTCAAATGCATTGGTATAACCGAGGAACAGATACCACACGGTCTAACATTCAATATCCAAAGCAGATGCAATAAAGTACTTAAGATTAAAAATTGCATGACATGTAAATGAACTGTTTGGTGTCACTGTACAACCGTTTGCGGACATTTTTACTGTTTATTAGTTTGTCAATACTACCAGCAAGCCGCAAATAAACCTTATTTTCAAACACTTCAGTGAATCCCTACCATAGAATGACACTGCGTAAAGTGACCACGAGATATTCCTTAGAGAAAATAAGACCAAATAGCAAGAGCATGAACGTAAAGCGACTTTTAATGGCTGCATGCCCTATCATCGGCAAAATAAAAGATGCGCAGATCTGTGTTCGCCATGAAATTCTCTGCTGTTTAAACGCATCAAACAGCTAAGTTTGCTCCATAGTTTCGCTCCAACGACTAAGTTTAGCTAATAAATAAGTGCGATCCGATTGATACATGGCAAATATATTTTCATACCCACTTATTAGAAATTGCTTAATAATCGAAGCATGTCAAAAAGCAACGAGTGGTCAAATGAAAACTAACTATTCACTTGAGGATGATAGCTTACTGTTTTTGTTCTTAAACCGTCTACGACGCGACAATATACGCATTTGTGAGACGCAAAAATTTAGTTACTTACTGACATATGAAACATTTTAAGTTGTTCTAAAAGCAATTTTTCCGACCTTTCAGTCAAATGTCAGGGCGGATAAAACCTTAAAGTCACATATGTATATAATGAGCTTTGGATGCATCCTGTTGAAGTCATTATTTGGACCAACCGTTTAATAAATTTCTCAGGCACATGACTCATTGAAATCATGCAGGTTTGAGCAGTACACGAAAGAAAGTTTTTCTGAATATTTTACCAAATGGAATTCAACAGAGTTTTGTCGAAACTCTCTTAGCGAATGCATAAATGATTGCAAATCAAACCGATTCCTGGGGTCACTTGATAAGAAAATAAATTGGGTGTCCAAATTCAGCATTATATGTTGTTAAATCACTTGTTTTGAGAAATGCAAGTAGGCCATACGTGTGGCTTCTTGTCCGAGGCTTGGAACAGATACGGCTTAAATGTTCCTGCGGAATGGTAATCACAGGTTCACTGATCGGATGGAACATCTGATTTCTTGATAGTAATTTTGTACCAAGCTCA